CACTAGCACACCCTCACAGCAAGCCCAGATAGAGGGAGGAAGGAAATGAGAAAGGACTAAATCAAGGGACTTTGAGGGAAAAGGTGCAGTGAATCCCTAACAAAGCCCTGGCTCATGACTGCTGTATCATAGACTTCATAATTTCTTGCCAATCCTAATCCTAATTTGAAAAGGCTATTCTTGTTTCACTCACAAGAGGAGATGACGTTTAAGTACAAGTTACAACACTTTGTCACTTTCTCTATCCTGATGTGATATAATTCATATTAGATGGGCTTTAAGATCAACATTATTTGATGACATAATCATAATCTTGGTTCAATCATGCAAAATGTGTCAAATCTGATATATTGTTTTCATTTGAGTTGGAAATATCTTCAGTAACAAACACACTCTATACATTTCATGGTTTTTAATAATATTTCAGCTTGTTTCTTCCTTCCGAACAACAACAAGAGTTTTAATGGTAGTTTTGCCATGTCACCATATCTCATCAGTTAATCTGAAGAACAATGTTATCATGACCAAAATGACGGTGCAAAACATTTTATAATAAAATGTAATGAACTTACTGTACACGTGAACATGTACGTGACTTACTGATCCATTGCTTAACAATTGCATCAGTGTTTCTCTGGCACAGATATCAGCAAATACATGCGGCAGTGATTATTAAAATGGGTATGATTATTGAAAGATGAATAAAGATGATGTTGCAAGAAAAAGGAAGAAAACGGAATAAATGAGGAATGAAAACATTGAGAAGTATGTGTGGGAGGAGAGGCAAGGTGGTGATAAGAGGTGTGTGTGTGTGTGTGTGTGTGTGTGTGTGTGTGTGTGTGTGTGTGTGTGTGTGTGTGTGTGTGTGTGTGACTGTGTGTGTGTGACTGTGTGTGTGTGACTGTGTGTGTGTGTGTGTGTGTGTGTGTGTGTGTGTGTGTGTGTGTGTGTGTGTGTGTGTGTGTGTGTGTGTGTGTGTGTGTGTGTGTGTGTGTGTGTGTGTGTGTGTGTGTGTATGTTTGAAAGAGAGAGAGAGAGAGAGAGAGAGCAGGAGAGAGAGAGGGAAGTTATCCTTTCTGTTTCCTCAGCACCAGCTTTGTGGTTTCTATGAGGAACAGATGTTCACAACTTGATACAGTGCCTCATCCCCCTCCACTCACTATCTCCAGTGCCAGCACCACCAACTGTCTGCACACACACACACACACACACACACACACACACACACACACACACACACACACACACACACACACACACACACACACACACACACACACACACACACACACACACACACACACTCATGCAAGCGCACACACATATTGTCTCTTGGGAAACATAGTTATATAAAGCAGAGACTTTCTCATGTGAGTGTATGAGGGTGTATTCACCTGCATACTACATACGTTTGTACTGTCTGTTTCCCTTTTAGGCTGCACATCCTGTTCTTGAGTCAACACTTGATATAATCAGGTGTCACTTCCTCCTTTGACATTTTGCATTTCTGTTGGTCAGCTCTGGACAAAAACAACACACAGATGCATGCACTAAGTGTACCTGTATGTACGCAGAAGTAAGAGTCCCTTTTTGTTTCATATTTCCAGATTAGTTTTTGGCAGAAGGACTTCATACTGCAATTTAACCTCATTTTGTATATTCCACTGTTATGCTTGGCTTAGAAATGAAAGGCCCTCATGCATCGGACATATTTAAGATAGGTGGGAAATGATTTAGGCATTGCAACGATTTTGCAATAGTACAGCATTTCCATAACAAAAGGATAACAATTCTAAAACATGGAATATAAATAGTGTCTGGAATAGCCATAGTAATGTATTGTGTAGTGCTCCTATTAGAGTGGTTCTGTGGCCGAAAAACAACCCTGGAAGTCAAGTATTTCAAAGGACATTATTATTTCCAAAGAGCATGGATTGAATTTCGAATTCACATCATGTCCGGATGATTCAAACAACAGACACTTTGCTGCTCAATTGAAAAGAAAATGTCAGAGGGTGTATGGATGCAATTTGTAAAAGCAGCGTTCCAGCGTACGTGCTTGAGTGGGTGGGTCAATGATCCGTTACACCACAACACGCCGAATCACAGAACATCTCTCTCTGTTTTATTCTCATTCATAACATTATGGAACAGCTTGAGGACATTCACACATGTTGACATAGAAAGTAAGAGAAAAACCTTCTCATAAGCACGTTATCAGAAAAAGCATGGTTTAAAATACAAAACCCATGTTCATGGAAGATGCATGTGACACAGAGGGACAACACAAACTCTATTTTTATCAGCATTTCAATCAGCATAACAGTTTTCTGATGAAGTGAGCTGTGCTCCTTACTCCTTCAAGATGAAACCTACAATGGTGCCTTTAATGGCAGCTCCATAAGAGTGTGGTCTGTTGAATGGGCATGACAAAGTAGAGGATGGGAGAAGAGAGAAGAGCGCAGGAATACAATGGGTCTAGCGTTCCTTTCAGTCGGCTCAGGGCCTTATCTCCTGTCAACACACTAGCCTGTGACTGGCACTATAGGAAAGGATTTACAATGTGTGAGTGGAGGAAATGCTGCAAACTTCTCCCTGGCTTTTACTCTGACACACACATGCACGCATACACAGAAATAGTCATTTCCATACCAGCACAATGACCAACCCTGGCTCTTATATCTTAGTGAGTGCCCAACCATCCAGGAGATGCTGTCAACCTAACAGAGTCCGCAGCAGAGTGGGGGTGTTTGTGAGGTGACAGTGAGATAGAGGAATGAAAGAAAGGCAAGACAACGCTGTTTTGTTGTCATTAATGCCATCAAAGGATCTTCCAGTGGCAGTATTATAGCACAGGGAGTTCATCGAAGCGAGTTCCCATCTTGTGTTGTGTGATTCATTGCGCAGTTTATCAGGCCGGCCACATGGAGTGTCAGAGCTAACCCAGTGACCGTTCAACAAAAGGCCAAATTAAGAGGAGTGAGAGGCTGTCGTACAGGGAGGCTGACAGGTTGACTGACGCTGTTCCCGAGGAGAATAGCATCCTGTCAATCTTGGAGCTGTCACCTTGACAGGAATCCTTTCTTTGGATGCTACCCCCATTGCCAACCTTTCTGTCAGTCAAGGCCACACACACACACACACACACACACACACACACACACACACACACACACACACACACACACACACACACACACACACCACACACACACATACACACACACACACACACACACACAACACACACACACACATACATACACACACACACACACACACACACACACACACATACATACACACACACACACACACACACACACACACATACATATATACACACGCACACACACACACATACACAAATACATATTCCCTTTTCAGCATTCTACACAGGAACCAAATAAGCCACCTACAGTAAAATCCTCAGGACTCACACACACCACACACACACACACACACACACGCACTCACACACACACACACACACACACACACACACACACACACACACACACACACACACACACACACACACACACACACACACACACACACACACACAATGCCTTATGTGTACCGAGCCACCTAGGGCTATAACTTTAAAATAGAGAGAAAAATAGAGAGTGAGTTTCATAAACACTCCATCCATCTCCTTGACAACTGCACTTCCACCGTGTTACTCTACAAACCCTGTGCATCTGTTTTGTGTAATGGTAGTGTTTGTGTGTGTGTGTGTGTGTGTGTGTGTGTGTGTGTGTGTGTGTGTGTGTGTGTGTGTGTGTGTGTGTGTGTGTGTGTGTGTGTGTGTGTGTGTGTGTGTGTGTGTGTGTGTGTGTGTGTGTGTGTGTGTGTGTGTGTGTGTGTGTGTGTGTGTGTGTGTGTTTGACCCTTTTTACATCAGCAGCCTTTCAGTAATTGGGCATATTGTGGTGTGAACTAAAGCATTGGCACTGGACCTAAGGTTACCTGAAGTTATTCCTTTACCTTTGCCGTGGGGGAAATAGTTTCAATCAAAGAGCATTTGGGATTTCCCCTGCACGCTTGTTCACATTATTGAATCAGGACTGGAGTGTTTTTAAAAAGTCCTCCTGGCACCATGTGAAGGCAGCGTTTGTGTTGGAGGCTGGCGAAGCTGGTGAGACTGGAGTCGGGGCAGAGCAGCTGTCCGTGTGTACTCTACAAGCTGGTTCTGTTTGTTCTGTAGACACAGGAGGGGTCAGGAGGCTGCATGGCTGTGTGTGTGTGTGTGTGTGTGTGTGTGTGTGTGTGTGTGTGTGTGTGTGTGTGTGTGTGTGTGTGTGTGTGTGTGTATGTGTGTGGGCGTGTGTGTGTGTTAAGCAGAGGGAGAAAGAGGACAGGTGGGTCGGCAAAGTGAGTATCAGCTCAGTGTGGACAGGTGGAGGATTCTCACTATAGGAACTAGTATACCTGCCTTTTTATGGCATCTCTCTGTAAAGTTATTTCTGTTCGTCTTATACAGTTTTGGTTATACGCATTAATTATCAATACTGTTAACTGAGAGTAAAGTATCTGTTTATTTATAACTGCATTAGAGCTGAAATTATTACTCGAAAAATTGATAGACTAGGGGTTATCTGTAACATTTTAAATAATCAATAAATTAATTGGGCCGTTACTGAGGAAAAACATGTCTAAGCAGTACGGATTCAGGAGTTACTGCTTTTCTCTGCCTTACGTTAGGTCAGATAAACTAAGCAATTTTAAGAGACCCCACTTCTCAAAAATGAGGGGCGTTTTCAGTATTTTCCAAAATTGTGTAAACTAAATGATTATTTGAATAATCAAAAATATAAACGACAAATTAATTTGACAACTGCTTATTGCAGTCTTATGTTAAATGGTAAATTGACTGTACTTATAAAGCGCTTTATCAGGTCTTTACGACCCCTCAAAGCACTTTTACATACTTAATGTCATTCACCCTTTAAAACCTCATTCAAACAGAGCAGTGCCAATTGCTCTTGGAAGCAAGCTCTGTAGAGCCTGGACAGTTACTGATCATCTGAGAAGAAATAAAAGCTTAAAACAGACTATTAAATAGCAAATAATTATGCAGCACAAATCAAATGTGAATATTAATGTGCAATACACCATACGTTTATTATAAGCTACTGATTGAAACAAGCAACACAGAATTATGTAGAGCAATAAAAAAGGAACATTAATGATGGTAATAATGTTTAGTCGATCCATCCTCACATCCACCCACCTGACTATTTATGACAACACAAAGAAAACAATACAGTTTACAAGCTATGCAATTTACTGAAGTGTTTTCACATATTCCTCTGCATTCATTCAGCCCACAGATATGAGCTCTTGTATTGTGTATCCAAGTGTGGAATAAAGTAAATAAAGCCTGCAGTCTTGTGGACTAAAGTCTGCTCTCTTGTTGTGCTCGTGTCCCTGACATGAGGAAACAGCGGCCCCCACGGGCAGACAGAGGAACAGCACCTCACTGCTCTCATGCTTTAAGATTTGCCTGCTTTGTTATGTGGAATAATGATTTGCCTGCACTGTGCAAGCCATACATTAACACAACTCCTAGAGCATATGTAAAGATGCATTTGATTGCAAAAGTAGTTGTATGTGTAACACATTACTATTGGTTAAGTTCCATTGGCTTCCATGTAGATTTGTAAGAGTGCAACGTGTTTAGCCTCAAATTGCATCATTTTGTACCCAATATGGACTACAATTTGGATATTCTTCAATTTAGAAAGGATTCCTGTACATAGCTGCCAGCTTGCGCCTCTGATGGTACCCGAGAGAGAGAGAGTTGGGGGGAGAGAGAGAGAGACCCATAGAGAGGGAGAGGGAGAGGGAGAGAGAGAGAGAGGTTAGCAGCTCCAGATGGTGTTTAAACGCAGACAGAAGGCTACAGCGAGGACAGAGAGAGGAGGAGGAGGAGAGAGCCGCGGTGAATGCGTACAGTCAGCTTTTCAGCTCCGCTCATCAGTAAAGACAAAACAAGTGTTAAAACCTCAAATCGTGAATTGACTGCTGCGAAAGAAAACGTGTTAATATCCCAAGCTGACCGTGATTTCCTGCGGGAGAAGTGGATCTCTTTACAGCACCATCTGAAGACAGGTCGGCGGAGGATCGGCGTGTCGGCGGCGGGGAAGGACCGTACACAGAAAACGTGGTGGTAGAGCAGCCTGTAGAAACGGTGTTTTTGCAACAGAAAAGGAGCAGAAATGATCTCCCCGGATGTATAAGAAGTTGTTCCTGACACCACGGACTGCGACTGGACTGTGAACTAAAGAAGAGGGGGTTTAAAGTTGTCACAGGAGGCATGATAGACGCACCCTGCAGACAAGAGGATCCGCATCTTTATCATTTGCGTTTTCACATGGAAGACTTTAGGATTTGTGGAAAAAGTAGCGACCGGTTAATAATTGTGTCTGCCTAAAAAAAGACCAGAAAGAATTTGTTTGCAGTTCAAGCAGTATTTTATATTTTGTTGCTTTTATCTGGGATGGTTAAAATGAGAAAAAGAGCGGATTTACATGACTTGGACAAGTTGTGATTTTCTCATCACCGTCAACACCGTCTTGCTTTAAAAAACAAAATAAAAAAAACACAAACTGCAAAACCAAAGACATCATTGAGGATCCAAAAACCCATGTTTTGATTTTTATTCCTTCCTTTTTCGATATCTGCAAAGAGAAATACCTCATTATTTATTATATCTCTTTTGAACCCCCAAAGGAAAGTCAAACACCATTTTTTTTTTGTTAGACTGGCTTCTGCTTCCTCTCACTATTTAAGAAACAAAGCAACAAAAAAAAGGAATAAAACCTGAATGGTTTCCCGCACTATCTAGCAAAGGCTTTATCTTTTTCCCAAATAATGAGGAGTGAGACGATAAAAAAACTGTTTTAGAAACTTCTTGGTGTGGATTATCACCACTACGGTTACCTCAGCTTGACCCCGACCTTCACAAAGTAAGTACAACCTGCTAACTCTACTGTATTCAAGCAAATCATGGAAATACATGTATCTTGTTGTTGGTGTGAATTGGTTTTAAATTCACTGAAGGCTTGCAATCATTTATTTCGTAAGGCCCAAATGATCAGAACATAATGTTATAATGGAAGAAATGTTTCATATTAAAATGGTTAAAAAAATACGGAAATATCTCAAAGGTAAAGTCTCACATTCTGGTCAACACTGTGTTTTTCTGTATTTGCTATAAAGAAAAACATTGAGTCCTGTATGAGTAATGCTTATAACCGACGTAGAAATAGGGACGTCGACAATAGAGTATAGACAAAAAAAGTGAGTCTAATATTAATTATATAATTGTTATTAATAACAGTATATGCATTTACTGTTTTTTACACTTTAGCAGTGGACACAATGTGCTGAGAGGTGAAGGTTCACAAGTTGTTTGCTCCATCAGTTTGTGCTGCACATCAAAGAGATGTTGGGACAAAGTGATGACACAAAATATTTGCTCTCTATACCTTGTGTTGTGTTCACCTGGAGTGGATGGAGGTGATGGGTGTGATGGGATGCATTCAGACATTTAGCCTGAACTGAACTCCATGGTACCCCCGAAAAAAATCTTACTGTAAAGTGAAGTCCAACCATTTCTGGTGATTGCAGAGTGTTTGTATACCAGCATGTGGAAACACTAAAGAAGGAGGTCGAGGAAGTGTTTAACAGAAAATACTTTGGCAACCAAAGGAAATAAACACAACTGCAAAGGGTTTTAAAAAGCTTAAATCATGGTAGATAATTTATAGCAACCCTTTGTAACGGTGCGGACACTCCCAGAGAAGAACCAAGTCCGTCCCAAGGTTTCTACCCCCAGTTGAACAGCCTCAGCAGCGCACTCTTCCGCTTGTGAGTGCAACAGTAAAACACTCAAGCCATTTTCTCTGCAGGACACAGCCCTGTATAATTGGCCCTGGTAAATATCTTCTGAATAATTGAACAGTTGATAATAGTCTCGAACAATGGATGGGAGGTTGCAGGGGTGAAACCGCAGTGCAGACACCCTGCCTCACCGCACATTATACCTCCATCACCACCAAGTGAGCGCCTCAGCCTCGCTCCTTCCAACGCTGGCCGCCCCATCAGTCAGCTGGGCCCGGCCAGTCGCCTGCTAAGGCAGATGTCCCCACTTCATCATTAAATAGCCCTCTTAAAAGGCAGGCCATTCATTATGACCCTGAAGAGTTTATTTATTCAGTTCCCATCCACCACAGGTGCATGGACGGGATGTCTTCTGTTTTAAATGCAGAAGGAAACATACCAAATGACTTGAAAAGAAAGAACCTATTCTGGAGAAACAGCAGCAGGCAAAGCCACAGGCCGGCAGAGAGTCAGTATCTGCTATTTACTGACAAATACAAGAAACATATTTGCTCAATGGGTTCTTGCATTCTTGTTTTATTATTCTGAATCATTGCTGCTGTTTCAGGCACACCATGACTAATGTTTCACCATCAAGGTATCAAAGGCAAATTGTTTTATATACCCTTGCGTGTGACAATGTTTATCAGGAGATGTTGAAAGTCATCATCATCTCAGTGTCTCATGGAGCAGGTGACACAGCTCTTTCAGGGTCTTGATGCCGCAGGATCTTATGTGTTTACTGTATTATTGTGTGGGCTTGTTGAGTGTGCTTGGTGTGTATGTGGTAATTATCGTGATCTAAATGCGGGCAGTGCAGGTGAAACTGGCTGTCTCCTAATTAATGAGTGGAGCAGATGGCCTCAGGTGGGCGGGAGCTGTGAACACACAGCGAGGCGGTCAGGTGGTCAGCACCACACACACACACACACACCTGGGCCATCACAAACAAGACAAGCCAAGCGGTTGACACAAGCCAAAGACATCTGGCCTGTGTGTGTGTATGTGTTTAAGTGTCTGTGTATTTTCCCTGAAAGTCAACAACCACATACAGTGTTGTGCCTGTTGTCATGATTTGACCCTTTTGAAAATGAGCCGTGTCTTCTTGTAACCCCTCTTGTTGTACATGTATGAGTTGAAGTTTAAGATATTCAAATATACATAAAAGAGAAACAAAATCATAGAAGAGTTTGTTATTCAAACTGTCTCACAAATACACTATAATGTGAGACAGAAAAAGTTGTTTTTCTTCGTCTACTATCTCTTACAGCGTATTATTTTTACAGCAGGTTGTTTATAAGTTCTGGCAGTGATGCAAAGTTACACCGTGTGTAAGGAGTCTATTTATATTTGTTTGTGTGTATGAATCATATTAAGGGTTGAGCCTCTCCCCCCCAAACAGTTTATAGTTGTGCCTTCCTCCATTATGTTACTATGTTTCAGGTATAATTTTGAAGAGTTGTTTGTGTTTATTCACTTTAAATTGTCTTTTTATTTGTATCACAGCCATTCAGCCAAGAAACGCTCAAGGGGTGTATTTGGTCTCAGATTAAGTCATTGCAGTAGCTTTTCTTCCAGCATGAGAATACTAGCCCCTAATAGAAAAAGATCATTTCAAAAATAACATAGAAGAGTAGACTCTTTCTTTAGCTTGTGTTTCAGTGAACAATACGCTACAGTAAGAAGAAAGTGAGGGAGACATAATTGCTGGTTATATTGAGCTTTTGTGTTCATGATCAAAGCAAATAAATGTTATAGGGATTGAGGAGACAGTCACATGTTATACAGAGTTACTTTACTTTGTTATATTTTCAGCACTGATGCTCACAGCAGAATGCAAGTGTACTTACTGAAAAAATAAGAGACGTAGTAAATAGAAGTAAATGTGTGTGTTTTTGTAATAATGGGAGCAAGGAGTAATGAAATATCTCGGCGCTGAATCTCTATGGTTTCACTGTTGTTTATTCTAATACACAGTGGGAAAGACCACTGTGGTTCTGGCCTCCTCCTGCTCCTCCGTCGTGTGTGTGTGTGTGTGTGTGTGTGTGTGTGTGTGTGTGTGTGTGTGTGTGTGTGTGTGTGTGTGTGTGTGTGTGTGTGTGTGTGTGTGTGTGTGTGTGTGTGTGTGTGTGTGAATTGGTCTGCTCTGTCCTGGTCTGTTCCACATGTGTTTGACATTACTGTGACAAGGCTGCCCAGCCTCTCTGGGGAGATGGAGAATGTCAGAGACTAGAGCGGATAAGCGAACAGCTTCCCAACATCTGATGAAATGAGAAACACACTCGCTGCATGGCTGGCCTGCTGACGCCACAGCGTGGGAGCAGAGTCGAGGGTGGAGGCCAAGTAAAACCCCCAAATGCGTGTGTGAAAGATTACACTTTTTCTCCCATTTCCCTGTTTGCTTCCCTACATGTGCACATATCCACTCTGAGTTCCAAGAATAAGATATAACGTGCAAAAGGACACCATCAACCTTGACCCTTCTTCACAGCTTGTAGAAAAATATATTATGCTTAAAGAACTCTGTTTCCCATCTTTTGTCATAACACTGTTTTGCATCCACAGGCATCTTTTCTTCATATTTTCATGCATGCAGAGCAGGTGACATGCTCCTCACTACTTTATAATATTTAACATTCAAGACTCACCATTTACTGCTGATAATTCCTTGAAATGATTTGTTGAATTGACACTTCTTTTTACAAAAAATACTTCAGCACATACAGCACTGACAAATTGCACTCTCAATTATGCATTTCAAAAGGCAGGCATATTTCTAGTGCACAGAAACGCTTGATCATGAATGGAATAGGAAACAAATGTCCCAACATTGATGATGAATTAAGTATGTATAGACAAAATGCTGCAAGCTGTTTCCTCCTCCTCACTTCCTTGTCTTGTGCCTATTTCACCTCCTGCTCTTCCTACTCACCTTTTACTTCCTCGCTTGCCCACTGACCTCTGACCTCCTTTTGACATTTTTCTTTCCTTGTCCTATTCTCCCAGCGGCACCTTTCACCCCCCTCTGCTTCACGGTAGGAAGTGTGTTCAGATCAGAGTCAGACACAGGAAGCAGCTGGGCTAATCTACAGTAGCGCTGAGCTACGTTTTAATCATCCAAATGGACAGGTCAGCAGAGAAAAAGGTTCATATTATCACCGTTACCTGATATAATGAATCCTTCCCTTTCCCTCTTCCCTACACCACGAGGCCTTTATCACAGGCGGCAAGTAAACAAGCACAAAGGAACACAGAGGGATGTATTAAGGCCTCCACTCCAAAGCAGTCTTCTCTGGATGTCTGGGAAAGTGTGTGTTGTAAAGGAGCATGCAGGCACAGATTGGGAAGGAAGGCACGTCTCTCTCATTCGCTTTCCTCTCTTTTTCTCCCTCGGTGTACAGTATTTGTGAAATTAAAAAAGCTGTTATCTCCGGGAAACAGATCCTGTGCCACACAGATGGTTCCGTCTCTCTTCAAATGGGAGGCTGAGCTACTGAGTGCCGTTGTGTTACCAGTTGTGCAGACCTTAATCTCGGCTCCAGCCTTCCTTCCTCTGCCTCCATGTCTCTCTCTGCACACACGCACACACACACACACACACACACACACACACACACACACACACACACAGACACACACACACACACACACACACACACACACACACACACACACACACACACACACACACACACACACACACACACACACACACACACACACACACACACACACACACACACACACACACACACACACACACACACACACAGACCATTCAACCCCGGACAAAAGTAATGGCTGTGTAAATGTATCTAGGAAATACACATTGAAGCTTTATAGTGCAGAAAGAGGAGGGTCAGAGATTTGCTTGATGTGTCAAAGACAGGTGAAAGAGCGATGGTCACTTTGAGGAGCGAGTTATCGCCTGGCATTTGAAGTCATTAGGAGTCTCAGCAGGTTGTAGGGTTGTGTTTGATGCTTTCCTCTCCGTCTTTCAAGTGCTACCTCTGAGAAAAATCCTCCCATTAAAGCCCTGACCTCTGTTATATATCATTTAAGGGAAGGTCTCCACATATAGACT